TTTCCCTATTTTTGGGTCTCTTCGGGCGCCGTGTACACATTCAACTGCGTCGTTTTGGGAAGCACTTTTATTTAAAATTATTTTTAAAATTTTATTTTCATTTATTATGTAGTACGCATCTCTCAGATATTTAATTTAATTTTCACCATGACATTATTTGGCACAGCTTATGCCTCTCTACGGTTTTTTTTTTTATTTTTTATGTTGTGTTTCTCTCATGCTAAATTAAAGATATTAGCATTTTAATCATTTATTAATTATATAAATAAATTCATAAATATGGAGGATGGAAAAAAATTAATGTAATTTATTAATTAATTAAGGGTAAGAAAAAAGGGGGAAGTGCTTGGTGTTTGGCACGGGAGTAGGTGCCCTAGATTCATCACTTCCCAATGACAGGGGACCAATCTTAGTCCTACTTTCTGCTTTTCAATAAACATCACTTGTTTTTCTTTAAAATAAAATCAATTAATTAAACCTAGAGTCTATAATCCTCGACCATTTTTATTTTATCTCACAAATCCTCTACTTATTTTATCAGTGATTTTTTTTTTCCACTTAATTCCTTCTAATTTAACTGTTCTTAGTTTATCCCTAACCGCAAACACAATATCATACAATTAAAATTTGGAATTATAAATATTAAACTTTGATCCCTGAATTGTACTCCGTATACCTACAAAAAATCACAAACTACAAACACTAAATCATATATTTTAGATTTTAGATATGACAGATTTAGAACTTAAGGTCTATATATTACCGTTTTGCGTTTATTAAGTGGTTAAATAAGATTAGTTAAAAGATTTGTAAATATATGAGCTAATTTTTTTTTGATTGTTTTTATCATCACAAATATATGGTGAGAATTTCATGTTTCGTATTTTTTAAATTATACAATACGTATTGTATGGAAAAATAATATATTCTTACCCCAAATTCAAACCCAATTCACCCGTACTTTTCCGATTCTCTAAAAAATATAATTGGACCAATAAACTTTTGAATTATTTAAAAAAAAATAACATGTCATAAACTGTTATTCTTTGAGTTTCTTATTAACTGTTTGCTCTATCATTTGCAGCACATTTGAAAAAATCAATGGTTGATGTTAAATTACGGTTTCTACTCTTTAATTAGGTTTTATTTCAATTAGAGAAACAAATAGACACAAAAAAACGTGTATATATAGGTATGTAAATTTGTCTAAATTATCAACGAAATTATATCGTGTAATCTAATTTATTTATCTTGAAGACGACGAGAAATGAATATCATACATTAAAATTTTAGATGATATGTATATTAGTATATATATATACACACGAGATAATATATCATTTGCATTAGAAAAAAAATTATATAAAAAAATAAACAAAATAGCCTTGTCTTGTCTCGCTGAGGAATTCAAACGTAGAAGTATGGGAAAGAGGGAAATGGGATCATGGACCACACGTAGTCACCAACGCCACCTCTGTATATACATATATATATATATACACATATATATATATATGTTGTAGTTGTAGGGTTTCGTTTTATACATTTTATGTGCATACCAATAATATAGATAGAGCATATTATTATACCTAATTTTTTTTAATACAAAAAAGAATACAGTATTATAGCATTTTAAAGAAATCTGGGGTTTCCAAACTGCAACGTGGTCATGATGATTTTTATCAATAAGACATATATGGACAGCCGTATACATATATATATGAATGTCTGTTAAACGAAAATTTATAATTAAGTATAATTTAGAAATCATTTTGGCTAGTCGTCTAATTAATTACCAAGATATATATATTATGTTCCATTTGTTTCTTTTTACTTGAGGTTATGGGTTATCTAAATATATGAAGAACTGATCCTCTATAATTTAATACTATCAATTATTCTCCATTGACATCATATAAAATGAAAAAAATATAAAAATCATATTTAAAGTCAAATACAAACATGACAAAAATGATTTAAATATAAATAGATATAAAATTAAATAAATACTAATAAATATCAAACTAAAATTATAATTTTTTTAAAATGTTTATTGTTATTCTAAATTTATCAAAATAAATTATGAGTGATTAAATTTTAAAGCGATGTAAAAAAATAGATTAGGGTTATAGAGTACTATATATATGCGGAAGTTGGGCCGTGGTTCCTCCAAACTCGTTACAAACGTATTCATCATCATATTTCTAATACGAACCAAAATCCTAAAACCAATTCACCAAGATTTGAATCCAACCTGCCCGCGAATCATATCTATATGACACATTTATTAGTTTGCTTGATTTCGGGATTCCTAATTATTTTGACATAATATTAAATAATATTCAACTCGAAAATACCTTTAATTTCGTAATCTTATATTTCATTTACCAAAATGACCAAAAAAGGGTGAGGATATATATGATAGAACAATGGAAACATTATTAGATTTTATGTCAATGCAATAAAATGACATTATTCTATTTTATTTATTTCAACGTCTTGAAGTATCACATCGTGTGTTTCATGCCCCCACAACCAAAAAATAACTAATATATTTTTTGAAAATTAAATATCCAATTCACAATTAACATAATGCAACAATTATTTTGTAATTATATACCTCAATGAACTTACATCCTTCTGATTAGTCAATTTGGCAAAACGAGTTTTGGTGATTAATATTAAGCTTAATAGCCTAATCAATTATTTTTAAACCTTTGATTAGCCAAAAACTGAAATCATTATTCCTTTGACCGTTATAGTTTCTTGCACTGACTACAACACTCGAAAACAGTATGAAACTCTAGAGGATCCATAACACGAGAGAGAGATACACTAATATTCGAATGTATATACTCTTTTTTTATCTACCCAATATTCTCTCTCTTGAGATTTAAAAAAAAACACAAAAAAACCCTATTTTTTTTTTTATCACAAAGGCTTCATTCATCTAAACCACTAAAAAAAAACTTCAGTCATAAACATTATCACTTTCCGACCAAACTCCCGGCGTCTAATTTCACTTCCACCGCCCGAATCTTCAGATCAACCGCCTCTCCGATCACGTTCACCTGCTTAAATTACATAAACAAAATGCTTTCTTTTCTATTTTTCTTCATCGCTTCCTCTTCTTACCGGACTTTCCCTGCATCTTAGCTGAAACAGGTGATTTCCCCTTTGACGACGATGTCTCTGGTGCTGTTGGGTTATCTTCCGAGTCTGACTCGCGGTTGCTCTCCTTGTCCTTGGACGACGTGGTTGGAGCGGAAGCCGATTTCGGTTTGCCGCTGGATTTCCCAGTGCCTTTTCCCGTTTTGCCCTTGATGGATTTCGCGGGTTCTGTCTTGGATTTTGACGAACTCTTCGTGGGTTCTTCCTTTTTCTTGGACGAGTGTTTCGAAGTGCCCACCTCTGCATCTTCCTTGGCTTTCCCTGATTTCGCTGCCTTTGCTGATTTACTGATGGATTTGAGCTTCTCCTCGTCTTCTTCTACGCTCATTTCATCAGAACTATCATCATGTTCTGCTTTGCTAGCTTCCTTGGAAGTAGTATCCTTGGTCTTGCTTTCGGTCCTCCCGTCCTCAGGTTTCTTTCCGGACCTCGTTTTCTTGGAAGAACTCTTAGACCTATTCTCCATTTTTCCGACCTCCTCAGTTTTCTTCCCCGACTTGGTAGCAGAAGCAACAGCCTTGGACTTTTTGGATGCAGCACCCCTGAGTAACATCACATATCACTTAGTATTCGCACTTTCTTCATGTGTAAACGCTTTTAAACTGTTCAGGTTTCGGGTTTAACTTACTTCTTCACTGGTGTCTCTGCCTTCCTTTGCATGGCTGAATGGCCATTGCCCCTCTTAGCTTTCTTCTTCTGAGGCCTGCCCTCGAAGCACGCACGACAAAATGTCAGGTCGGATAATGGGTTAAGGAAGTTGTAACAGTTTAACCAAGAAGTAGTGCTTACATTGCAGAGGATTCATCGGGACCTGTCTGATCACCTTTTTCATCCTGTCAGATGGCAAAATGTTCACATTAAGCAAATGGCAAGAATAACAAAGTACAAAGAAAGATAGATGCTAATATATATGTACCATAGCGGTCGATTCTGATTCATCTTCGATGAACTCCCACTTCTGCCTTCTAAGATTCAAGATTTCTTGATCACCGTCATCGTATAAAACCTGATAATGACAGAAGCAACAGACCCATGCATAAAAGTTACATACCGAACATCTTCAGATTCAAATGCACTCAACTTAGTTCAAAAGAGATCGAATTGATCTTACCAGATGTTTCTTCTTAGCAACATCGTATGAATTGACAACACCTTCATAGTACCTACAGAAAAGATCAAATAATAATTTAGAAGCTTATATGGAACATAACTGGAAGAATGTGGAGCATAAACTACAGAACCCCAATCCTGTTTTAAGCAAGACAGGAAATGCAGGGAGAACGAAGAAACGTGTGTGTCCATATCAAATGGAACAAGAATTTAACATAAACAGCAAAAAAACTAAACACTTACGCACGATCTTTAGGCCACCAGATTTTAACTCTCGACCCAACCAGATTTTCACCAAACTCTTTGTCTTCGGAAGCCTGTGAAAGCAAATTGCAAAAGCAGGAAAATCAATTCACAGATTGAACATCTGGGCAGAGCACAAGCAAGCGTCTGAACCTCACAATCAAAGAAGGATACTCCAAAAGCCACAAATAAAAAAGAAAGATCCAAAAGCTCCAGGGCAGGGAAGGGAGGTACAGATATTCAAGCTAAAGGATGGTAATAAGTGATTCGTTTCAAATTATTTTATAAAGAGGCAACAAAAATAATTAGCAAAATTAAAAACCTTTTCTTTATCCAGATTATGCTTTCTCTTGCCATTTGTGTTGGGAGTCTCTTCAAATGGTTGCACCTCATCTTTGCTTGACTTCGGGATCGGCTGGGAACACAACGAAAGAATATTAGTACCAATACAAAGAATTCATCGACCCAGGCAAGATGATAAACATGTAATGAATCAAAACAGCTAAAAAAACTTACTTTTTCATCATCGTCTGATGATGTGTGAGATTTCTCCTTCTCACCAGTGACTTTTCCATGGCCCTGCTTTTTCTTATCCTCCTTTGACTTAGAGGGCACTTCCACATTATCACTGTCCACTGCCTTCTTCCCAGACTGCTTTGTTGGTTTTGCCTCAGGGATGCTTTTCTTTGTAGGAACCGAAGCTTTGGTTTTACTTGAAGAAACCACCTTCTTTCCAGACCTTTTCGACGAGTTAACTTCTGAACTGCTTGGTTCTTCGGGAGCTACTTTAGCAGAGCTACCAGCAGATGATTTTGCCTCTTTGGTTGAGCTTTCCTTTTTCTTCTGGTTTACAGCCTTGTTAGAATTACTGTCATTAGGAAGGCATTCACTCTGAGATGGAGAAGCGGCATTTGTAGTTTCATCTGCTGGCTTCGATTCCAAAGCTTGAGCACTTGTAACCTTTTCATTATCAGAAGAAATATCAGGGTTGTCCAGGGGTGCTCTGGATTCAGTCTCCTCTTTGACATTCGAAGCTTTTGAGAATTCCTCCTGTCTCACAGAACTGGTTTGTTTTCTGTTTTTCTTACTTTGTTGGTTTTCAACACCAGTCTCCTTCTCATCACCAGCATTAGCGATCCCACTGTCGCCAAACTTATCGGGTTTAGGGGGTTCATCCTTCACTTTTGTATCATCTTGCTTATTTTTGGAGTCAGTATCATCTGAAGAATCATTCTCTGCAACCTGTGCAACACCATTGCTAACTTCCGACTTAAGAGAGCCATCCTTAGGTGCATCAGCTAGCTCAGCATCAGCAACTTTTGGTACGTTCAATTTATCCTGTTCATTGGAAAACAATACCATCACAACAATCGCAAAATAAGAAAGAAGTCTATTCTGTTATTACAAATTTAACTGATTGAGAGTAAAGACACATGCCTCATCTTCCACTTCCCTTGTTAAATTATCTTGGCTATCCTGTAGTACACAAAATTTGGTTTATCAGTATAAAAGCGAGTTAAACTGGAGCCACTATCCATGATTCAGACACTCAACAAAAGTCGAGGAACACATTCATATTTCATAGGAGACAAGATGCGAGTGGATCATCTCCAAACAATAAGAGGAAAAATAAACAAATATGAAAACTTACATGCTTTTCATTAGCAACAGATTCATTATGCCTCGATTCACCAAAGGTCCCTTTGCATATTGAAGCAGCTACATCACTAAACTTATCTAAGGAGAGACCCAATGATTTTATTGCATCTGTCAGGTAAGGTTTAAGCTTGGTAGCAGAGTTCTTCAAAACTTGTTCTGCTAACTTCCGCGATATTTGGGGAACCTGCTGACAATTAATGAAGAGGGTTAGACAAAAACACACAAGTTATCAGAACAGAAAAAGTGAGAGTACTTTCATGCATCACCTGGTTATCCTTTCTAACATATTCTAGAATTGGTGAAAGCAACTCTGGAGATATCTCCTCACTTTCTTCTAAAACGAGGGTCATAATCGTCTCCATAGATGAGAATACATTGTCTGGATGATTATCCCTGGAAAAGTAAAGTCTTTAGAAAATGAAAAATATTTCGTTGGATGTTCAGAAAGCAAGATCAATGCAATCAGTGCACAGTAGACCAGTTAGGGAACAACATTTATGAGCACATAAACCTAAACAGCATACCTAATGCCCAAGGAGAAGCACAGTTGAGAAAATGATTTTGAATGTGAATCAAGATGATATGTGAAGTAAAGAAAAACCAAGCTCTAAACAGACAGCAATTGCACTGAAACTCTGCTTCTAACGTTGATAAAGTTACTAGATTGCTTTTCCATGGAACAATCCAGCATAAGTGATGGAAATAGACAATAAATCATACATATGAGTTTCTGAACATTAAGTACATAAGTACTCACGGGATTACACCCTGGACTGTTTCCCAGAATATTGAACTTGAATCAGGATATATTAATTTGTACCTTATAGTCTTGAGGAAATGCTGGAACATCTCAATAACAAGCGCATCACACTCAAGATCCAACATCACAACACATGATTGGACCCTTGCTACAGTTTCGAGGATTGAGGTCCTCTTAGAATATGAACGACTGGATATGTCGGTTAGATTTTCAAATGATGATACAATCAACTGGAACACCTCCTGCATGTAAACCAAAGAAAATGCTCAGTGTACTCTGAGAATCACGGCCCATTCACAAACGAAAGTCCCCATAAGAAATTGACATACTTTCATCTGGTCATCATCATATGGAGCATCTGGAGCAGTTATTCTCGTAATCTCACTGATGCATGCAGCAACTGCAGCATTCACATCAATATCTGAGTGCTTGAAGAGTCTGTCAGCAACTAATGCTTTCATCAAGGGGGAGAGCACATTTTGCATTGAGTCAGGAGGTGACTGATCAACCTTAGTCAGGCAGCTTTCAACTTTCTGCAACACTCGATAACAACCAGTCAGAAACGAGAACGAAATTTTTTCCGAGATTTCACAACGAACTGGATCATCAATCACAGTGGAAAATTACAGTCATTTCCATGTATAGGCTAGCACTCAATACCAATCATTCAGAAACAAGACTTCGAAATTTCAGGGATTTTATTACACGCTCAAACATAAAAAACAGTGGAAACTTATAGTCATTTACATCAATAATATTTCACAGAACAATAAGCAAACATTTAGAGACCTCATTGGAGCACAAAAATAAGGAAATTCCATTATGCATCAAACCGCATCACAGGGGATGCAAGAAAGCAGCAAAACACAATCGTTTCTTTTATGTCTGGTAGCTCTTTCCGTAACTACCTCCCAAAGGCAATCCTACATCATATAGAGAGAGTACTTGTGAAGCTATGCGTTCAATTTAAATAAAATCGAAGCCATGAAACACAGGAAGTGAACAAAACTACAATTTCCCAGAGAAAAATAAATTCCTGTTCTTTATATATCAGAAGACAAGAAAGGCTTAAAGCCCCAGATAGTCCAACACCTGCTCCATCCGAAAGAGATACATATTATCAACGTGTAAACACAAAGATCGGGAATTTTCACAGCAATATACTTCAACAACCATGTCTCCTGCAATTCACTATCCAAAGCAAAGACAATATTTCACTTGAATGGATAAATATCAGGGCAAAAGAAGAAAACTGTCATAACAAGAAACCTAACCCAATTCCAGAAATCGACACCAAAAAAATGCATACATCTAGCATCGCACAAAATCGACTACAAAAACGAAAACGCCTAAAAATAGAAAAAACAGAGCAAAAGGGAAAGTGCTCACGTCGAGAAGAGGAAGAAGGTCCTCGACAGAAGAAGGTGGGTCAAGAATCTTTTTCCCAGCTTCCGTAAGCTGCTTCTGGAGCTCCTTAGGGTTATCAGAAGCCGCCATGATTTGTTCTCCTTCCCTCTCTTTCTCTCTCGCACGCGCGTGCTCTCCTCTGTGTGTATATTTCCACAGATCTCAGCAAACCCTAACCTTGGAAAACTCGACTTCTCTACAAGAAAACCCTAGAAACCGCATCGATTCCTGGAATCAGAGCACGGAATCTCCAGGGAACGCGAAGAACGACGAGGGAATCCTCACGGTCACGGAACAACAAGAACAACACGCTAGGGTTTTTTCCCGTCTAAAATGCTCCTTTTCTCCGATCCCTTTTCCTTTTTCGCGGATATACGAAATATTTTCTCTGCCGATTAAAAAAATGGCAATTATGAAAATGTTTTTTTTTTATAAATTTGCACGGAGTAAATAAAAAATCTGGAATTTGGTCGTCTTTTGATGACGTGTCTATTTGTGCGACTTATTTTAATTTTTTTTTCTTTTTTGGGCTTTAAAATGGGAATCAATCTTTTTTTTTGGGCTCGGACTTCACAGTGATTTCATTCGGGTTTAGACGGTGGGCTTCGAGTCCGGTTTTGAATTATCTATATCTGGATATTCATTTTATTGTAAAAAAAATAAATACTAAGTGAAGCGTTAAGAAAAACAAATTATGAGTTTAATATTTTTTTTGATAATTTTAAATTTACAAAAATAAAAACAGGGAGAAGTCTAAAATTTATAATTGTTTAAAACCAGAAATAGAGGCATTATGAGTTTTTATAATTTTTTAAAGTAAAAAATATTATATAATATTTTTGAAACACAGGGAATATCATTTACTGGAAATATAGCATCACGAGTGGATTTATAAAAGGGGGTTGGTCGATGAAATAAAATGGATTAGTTCGAATCTAATCCATTACAAATAGATCAAAACGAGATTACGTCGTTTCTTTTAAACAATATGGAGAAATAAAAAAACAATCAATTATATAATTTATTCAAAACAAAATTTTACTTTAAAGTTTTTATAAAAATATATCATTTTTAATTTTTTAAAAATGTATGAACTATCTAACGTATTCAAAAAATATTTAATTTACTAAATATATATATTTATTTATTTTAAATTTGTTATCAAATTTATCAATTTTTAATTACAAAAAATCATGTTATAAAATTCTAAGTATCACGATAAAATATTAAATATTTATAAAAAATATTATACTGTGGTACTCACAATTTGTATAAGTATTTAATTTTAAATTATAATATTTATAAATTATATACATCATATTCTTATACAAATTCTATATTTAAATTTAAATATATTTTGCTGATTAAATCCACAATTTTATATAAAAAATTGATCATCTTTATTAATCTGTAATAGTATGTGAGATGGTTCAAATTATTAGTTTCATATTTAAAAAATAAATAAACAAAATATTATATATTGAATAATTTCTGTATATATATATATTAATTATAAAATTAAAAGTTGATTGAATTTTTAAACAAATTTAAAACAGATTTTTTTTATTAAATTAGATTCTTACCGTTTTTAACCATTAATAGTTTATATTTTTATACCGAATTTTAAAATATTTTTTTAATAAATTAAGTAGGTAACAGTTTGTGTCTGAAAACAAAATATTTCGTCACACATTAACAACTAGTAATCAATCTGTTGTGTGACGGACGGTCACTGTCGAAGGCCTACACGGCTACACAAGATGACCAAGTGTGAAAATCAACGCCACACTTGATCTTTTGTCTATGTACACGGACGGCTACACGGCTACAGATTTTCCTTTCCATAGTTAACCATCCCGCCCAATGTCAGAACACCAATAATAAACTCGACTTGATCGGATGCGAAATCACCAAAAACTTTGATATCTACACATTTCTCAGTTTCTGCCCGAAGTAGGCTTCAGTTTCACCTTAAGGGACCAAAAAAAGGAAAGAACAACAAAAAAAGAAGAGAGACATTAGGCAGCCAATGCTTCCATGGAACCTTTCTCCAGCTTCTTGATGACCAATCTGTTCTGAGGAGGAACGTCTGTGGCCGTGGCCGTGGCCGTGGCCGCGGCTGTGGTGGCTACATCGACTAGAACGACGTCTTCTTCCCCGAAATCGCCTTTGAGAACCCCGACGGCAATCTCGTTCTCAACCAGTTGCTGTATAACCCTCTTCACAGGCCTTGCCCCGTAATTCGGGTCGAACCCGAGCTGAGACAGAAGCTCCACAGCTTCCTTTGTGAACTGCAGATTGATCTTCTTCTGTTTCAGCCTCTCACTCACCCTTCTCATCTGTTTCATTCCACCACAACATATCATTGGATCAAGTCAGAAATACGGAACAGTTTCTCGATCTTCTGTATGACCAATCGGTTCTGGGGAGGAACGTCGGTGGCCGTGGCCGTGGCCGTGGCCGCGGCTGTGGTGGCTACATCGACTAGAACGACGTCTTCTTCCCCGAAATCGCCTTTGAGAACCCCGACGGCAATCTCGTTCTCAACCAGTTGCTGTATAACCCTCTTCACAGGCCTTGCCCCGTAATTCGGGTCGAACCCGAGCTGAGACAGAAGCTCCACAGCTTCCTTTGTGAACTGCAGATTGATCTTCTTCTGTTTCAGCCTCTCACTCACCCTTCTCATCTGTTTCATTCCACCACAACATATCATTGGATCAAGTCAGAAATACGGAACAGCAAAACGGGACCAAAATGCGATAAAACGAGTCTTATGAACATTCGAGTCAGTCGGATAGGGTTTAGATGAGATGTTTGTAATAGCCACCGATTCGCTTCACATATCAACATCGAGGAAAAGAGAAAACTAGCAACCGGCCGAGGAAAGGGCCGGGAGGGTCTTAGGAGAATGCTTTATAGATCTCTAAGGCCTATCAGCTCAGTTGGTTCCTTGTACTTCACTACTTTGTGGACATGATCTAAACTAGACTGGTCCGAAATCACCATACCAAGCATTAATAACTAACGGTAAAATAAATGGGACAGAGTACAAAGTGTTAATTACCTGTAGCTCGACGATTTTGGAGATTTCCTTCGAATCCAGAGGCTGGAAGACAATGTACTCGTCGATTCTGTTCATGAACTCCGGCCTGAAAGTCTGTCTTGCCAACTCAACCACTTGTCTCTTCATCATCTCGTAAACCGCTTCTTTGCTGTCTCGACTGTTTCGGAGGGTTTCGAGTATGTAGTGAGATCCTATGTTCGAGGTCATTATCACAACACAGTTCGTGAAACTCACTGTCCTCCCCTGAGAATCAGTTATTCTTCCATCATCCAACAACTGTAACAGAATGTTGAAGACATCGTGGTGGGCTTTCTCGATCTCATCGAAGAGAACCACGGAGTAAGGCCTCCTCCGAACTACTTCAGTAAGCTGCCCACCTTCTTCGTAACCCACATAGCCAGGAGGTGCACCGACCAGACGTGAAACTGCGTGTTTTTCCATGTATTCGCTCATATCGATCCTCACGAGAGCATTCTCCGTGTTGAAAAGGTACCCGGCTAAAGCTTTGGCAAGCTCGGTTTTACCAACACCCGTAGGACCCATGAACATGAAGCTGGCAATCGGGCGGTTAGGATCAGACAGACCAGCCCTCGAGCGTCGGATTGCGTCAGCCACTGATTTTACAGCCGTATCTTGACCGATTACCCTCTGGTGGAGCACTTGCTCCAGCATTACCAGCTTTTCTCTTTCTGTTTGTTGAAGGTTCGATAAGGGTATACCTGTCCATTTGCTTACAATCTCGGCTATATCAAGATCTGTGACCTCTTCTCGCAGCAGCGACTTTCCAGACTCTCGGAAGTTGGCAAGATTCTTTTCGGCCTCATCTAACTGGCGCTGGAGGGACATAAGTGTTCCGTATTTGAGCTCAGCAGCACGATTTAGGTCATACTCACGTTCAGCTGATTCAATCTCCAGGTTAACTCGATCAATCTGTAACACAGAACACCGAGGAAGATATTGAGGTTGTGTAATAACGGCATAAGCAACACTCAAGTAACACCATCGTTGAAGGAACTTACTAAAACGAGCAATTGCCCAGGCAAGTTTCAATGATTACGATGAAACATTTCACCAAAAGAGTCTACGCTAGAGGTGGCTGTTAAAACCCGATACCCGCAGGTTCATGGGTACCCATAGCATGGGTATCCAGAATGCGTTTGGTACCCAACCCGGGCCCACCCCTATTCTTCAGTTGTTTTTCCTCCACATATCAGAGATTCAAGAAATAACTAAGTGTAACTTACGGCAATGGGGCACAAAAACGTTACCTCTTCTTTAATCGAACGTATTTTGGTCATGAGAGACTTTTCTTGCTCCCACTGCTCACTAAGTTCTTTTTGTTTCTGTTTGAGGGTCGTTAGGTCATTCTCAAGCTTATGTAGCCGTTCTTTGGATGCTTTATCTGTATCATTTTTGAGAGAGAGTTTCTCCATCTCCAGTTTGAGTACAGCTCTGTCTATTTCGTCCAATTCAATTGGTTTAGAAGTGATCTCCATCTTCAGCTTTGCAGCAGCTTCATCAACGAGATCAATGGCTGAAAAGAAAAGAACTTGTCTTAGACACAAAAATAAGGCCAAAAATATAACTTTACCCAGTAGAAAATAAGATCCCTTCCTTCGAAGGAAAGACAAATAGCTACTTCCAAACATCCATTTAAGAGTTGAGAAATCTCTCTTTCTATTTCTTCACCAACTTTTCGCCGAAGAAAACTACGCTTACATACTCAGAAAGGTGCATATTACCTTTGTCAGGCAAAAAGCGTTCGGTGATGTAGCGGTCTGCCAGAACAGCTGCTGAAACAAGGGAACTGTCGGAAATTTTAACACCATGGTGTAATTCGTATCGCTCTCTTAACCCTCGAAGAATTGAGATGGTGTCCTCAACAGATGGCTGACCACAAAACACTTGCTGAAACCTACGTTCAAGAGCTGGGTCTTTCTCTATGTATTTCCGGTATTCATCCAGTGTAGTTGCTCCAATGCATCTTAGTTCACCCCGTCCAAGCATTGGTTTCAACAGGTTACTGGCATCCATGGCGCCACCAGTAGCCCCTACAC